ACCCCTAGTTAGAATTCCAACTCCTTTGCGCCAAAGCAAAAATAAAAGCAAAACAAAACAAGGTTCAAAGTATGCATGTGTGTGATAGTGCAATTTTTGCATTCACATGATTCCAAGGTGCAAAAAGTTTAAAATAAAAATTTTTAAGTTTCAAGAATTGAGCCAAGACATCTCAGGAAGGGTATTAACCTTCAAAAGTGGCCATTATGCCCTAATACTTGGTACTTCAACACATGGTGGGTTCAAAAACATTTTAAACCTTGCTTGTAAGGACTGTTCTTTTAAACTTTACTTGACGTCATCGTCGTTTTCTCAATAATAGGGGTGGATTCGAGACGAGCCGAGCCAAAAACTTGGCTATTCAAGCTCGACTTGTAGGAATAGTATCAAACTCAAGCTTGAGACTTGAGCTCGAGCTTGGCTCAATTCATAGCTCACAAGTTCGAGCTCGACTATAAGCCAAGTGTTTTTTTTAAATAAAAATTATATGTACAAAATTATTATTTTTTTTATTTTTAGACAAAAAATTAAGAATTATAAAAATTATTTACTATTATACATAAAAATAAAAATAATATATCAATAAAAATATTATTACATATATAATAAAATTACTATATGTATGTATGTATATAATAAAAATTATTTATTTAATACTAGGCTTGTGAGTCTCACAAGCCGAGCTTCACTATGCTCGAGTTCGGCTCAATTAGAAAGCAAGCCTATATATCGGGCTCGAAATCAGCTCGATGTTTGGTTTAAACCGAGTCGAGCCAAGCTTGAATATCTCGTCAAAGGCTCGACTTGTGACCACCCCTACTCAATAAACAACCATGCTGTGAAATTCGATAAACTACATTGGGTTTAGTGTATATTTTATAATATTATTTGGTGCCAGCCAGGTGACACATTAGTAAAAAGGAAAAAACATTTTTTCCATTGCAAGAAATATCAAAATGACCTTTTCTTCCAAAATTTATTTTCACATGACCCAATATATGAATGTTGCTTGAAATGATTTTAAAACACTTAAAAAATGCTCAGCCAAACAAGAAAAAAGAAGAGAGTAAAAATGCTTGCATGGTACTCACAAATGAAATGCCTTAGAAAAACAATAATAATACCAAACACATATTTAGGTACCTTCATCTATATTTTACTTACATGCCTAAGAACTTGGTGTAGAGGATGATGAATTGCACTTTTTAACAATTTCTACAAGGATCAATTTGGCAAAATACCATAGCATGACCAGAGGGCAGACTTGGGGCAAAGAGAGTTGCAGGGGAATGCAGAATGGTTTGCAAATGAAAGATACATGGAGCTTGAAAGGAAAAAACAAAATATCTGACTGATCTCTCTGTGCATGGACCTTTATAAATACTCATTAAGCTCAGTTTAGAAGGAGTATAAATATAAATATATACAGTTTAAATACATATAAAATAATATAAAATATAAGGTTTTGTACTTTACATATTTGTATTTGTACTCCTTCCAAACTGAGCCTTAATAACAATTCTCAAAGTATTGCAATATGGAAGCAGATGAAAAACAAGTATAGCCGTGTTGCTTAAACCATTTAATTGCATTGTGGGAATTGGTTGAGAAATTTAATGACTGATCCAAATCCTTCTTTAGAACTGTTCAGTAAGGTTATTCACTCCAGAGGGTATAATGTATTTATAATAAAGATATTAAGGCTGCGTTTGAAAATGATGCAAAAGAGTGTAAATCCTAGTTCAGGGTAAACTTGAACTTTGGTTCACTTTTGTCTGTGTTTGCCAACATTACATTTATGCATTGACAAATGAAAGACTAATGCATATTTACATTGATAATAAGATGTAAAAGTACATCAATAAAAAAGAAGTAAATTTGCATTTAAGTGGACTTTTGATAAGAAAAGGCATATATGCTTTATTGGAATTTGTATTTGCATCCATTACAACTAAAAATCCGTTTGGTAAGAAGATAAATTTATCAGTGCAAAACTAATCCAACTTTATAATTTATATGAACAAATTTACACTACATATTTACATTCACACTTATTTGCATAACGCGGCCTAACTGTTGAATAAGGCCACTTAACCCAAATCCTTTTTATCAGTTGATATGCACCAATATTTAACTATGGAAACGATATCGCATGGTTATGGCTGAGAGGCAGACAATCTCACAAAAAAGGGTACATTCTCTGCTCGAAGGTTTGAATTACTGGAAGGAGTATTGATTCAAATCTTGTTGGGAGTTTAATTGGAACTCAGGCTAATAATTCTAACTGAGCTTAGTACACATGGTACTGGTGAAGAATTAAGTAGCTCTTGTCATGTGGCAGCTACAGAATAACCCATGAGCAATGAGGAATGTAAGTGCATGACAATGGACTGGCTGGATTAATATGGAGCCAAACTGATCACAGAACCACGGTAATTTCTCTCAGCCAATCCGCCTATACCTACCCATATGTATCGGCCGATACGTTTTTAATCATAATAAAATGTATTAGAGGGATTTCGGAACGATATGTATCGACCGATACGTATCGATAATTTGAATCTTGAATATAACCATAATAAAAATGATGGTACAAAATTAAACTATTTATATGTTGATAAAATAGGTGTTTTTAACCAAAATTATCATATATACTGTCTATGAAACAAAAGTTATAAAAACGAGTCATTTGAATTATATAATTTATAAAAAGGAGTCATTTACATAGAATCAGAAACCGATATGATTGGTTTGATCGGTTCGGTCCATTTGATGTGGGCTTTATGGGTTTGTTTGGAAAATTGTTTTTGTTTTTGAAATGATCTTTTGTGGTGCCTTAAAGTTAATGCTTGGACTGCATTTACCTTCAAATACATGGAAATATTTAGAAGTAAAATTGCAGTTATATATATGTATGCCTCTCCTACAGGCCCTCAAGGCCCACAACTTTGTTTTCTGTCCTTTGTAGGCGAAATCAAATACCGCTTAAAGGAGTAATAAAATCCTGGAATCTAACACACTACAGACCTCGACAAAGTAGCCCCAGCTCTCAATTATTTGATTGTGAACACATCATTCCATGTTTAAATGTAGTACAGGAATTAATTCTTATTCTGGTGGGTTTTGAACCATTATTTGCTGTACATATAACAGTTACGTCTGTTTTCTCTTACTACCAAAAATAAATATTTGATCTGATAGGAACTTATTAACTATGATAAGTGTTAACATAAATGCAAGTTCTAGGGTACAGAAATATTTACCCAAAAACATAATCACACTGTAAGCAAGCTGTAAATGTTGCACTGAGACTGAGACTTAAATGATGAACTCATTGTATAGCTAGATTTACAGCCCAACTGTACTCTGATAATGGGGTGCAACATTTACAGCCTGATTGTGCAAGATTTATAACCCCGAGTGCCTTCCAGAAAAACCCAGTTTGGTACCAGAAAATTTCTCAGAAATAAATTGACAACATATATAATGGTCTAAGGCTAAAACAACCACCACTRTAGTGAAGATGATAGTTTTTAGTGACCATTACTTCTGTGGCAATTTTCAACATGAAATTTATTGTGAAGTTGGCCATGAAATGAAGTTTAATGTGAATCTTTCCCCTCTTTTGTTTTCGGTATATGGTAGCACACACCACTAATATCTCCCTCCCCCAGAAATCGATTCCACATCAATGTTGGAGCGAACCATATCCCCTCCTTAAGGTTGTGTTTGGTTTGAAGAAAAAAAGTAGGGAAAGGAAGGGAAAGATGGCCGAAAAACCTTTATAAATCTTGTATAGGTTTCCCTTCCTTTCCTTACCTTTTCCTTCGAACCAAACATATAGCCTAAGTGAGTTACTTAGACTCAATTCATTGGGAGAGGAAACTCCCTCTCCCTACCCTCTCCACCACACCATAGACCAAACAATGCGAAGAACAGGCTTTTCAAAGTTCTCCAAGTCTTTACTACTTGTGAATTGACTGGACTGTTCTACCACCTCTTAGTACTCTATCCCTAACCAATTGTATTGATAAAGATATGTCAAGTTGTCGGAATGCAACAATCTAACAAACCCTCACCAATCACCATTACCAACTTGACCAAGAACAAAAAGAACAATGTTCAAAGATTATAAATATATAGGTAAATCATAAATGTTTGTAATTGCTACAAGATTTTTCTTTGTTTTCTGTTTTTCTTGAAGCTGAGGGAAACCCGTTAACTCAAGATGATATTTTCCTAGAATTGACTGCCTACTGGCCTTGGATTAGAAAGTGAAAGCACATCACAAATGCAGAAATGAAAGTTTCCATGAACTTGATTTTACTGATAAACGCTGCATAGACTCACTTTTTTAGCCATTTCAACATTTCCAAGTTAATGGGTCAATGTTAAAAGCTAGATCATGAACTCAGCTGCTTTTGCTTCTTGCTAGAGACACAGCAAGGTTCCAGGGAGCCAGCTATCCATGAATTTATAGGTTAAAACTCCTAAGAGCTCCATGCCTTAAGCACATAATCTTCTCTAGCTAGTCTCATTTGGCTTGATTTAACAGGAAATTAAATTAAAACACCATAAGTTCATCAACCCTAAAAACACCATAAATGTTTAATTAGCCTACTTGGATTCAAGGTCCAGATTTTCATCCTAATGACAGCATGAAGGGCCTTTTTGACACAGTTTGGACCAATTTTCCGGCCCACATTACAAAAAAATAATTTGACTAGGTTTCTATTTTATGGACCAAGATGTCAACCATAAACAGCAGAAAAACTAAGACAGATTTTATCTGGATCAGATTTTCAAACTTTGTCCCACAATTTCAAGCTATATTATTTTACTTATTTTCAGATATCACCCAGAGAAAATGGTGAAACCTCTCACTTTCGCATATATATATATATATATATATATATAAGTCCAAATACTTGAAAATATATGATAGAATTCTTTTATTTTGGAGATATACTTATATAGTAAGGGGATTTAATTTGTGCAAGTGTTCAAAACATAAGGAACCCATTGATTCTAAATTCCTCCATGGAATCCATGGAATCGGAATCCTGTCTCCAAATTACTCATTGACGACCAACAAAACCAACCACAAGGGTTTTAACTTTCATAGCTTCTACTTGGGATCCCACCAGGCCCAGATGGCTGGACCAACGTAACATTTGGGTAATGGCCATAGAAGACCCACCGGCCACCACGATGGCACCACCTTTAAAGAAAAAAAAAAAGGAAAGAAAAGGAGGCGAAGACAGGGAAAAGAAAATCCCGGGAATTAGGAAACGTGAAGGGGCTACTGATGACTGATGATTGATGAGTGAAAGAGTGGAAGAAGACTTTATTCATTCATATTCCTCTGAAGTCTGAAGAGAGGAGGGAGGCAGCGTAGGCATCGGAAAACCAGGCGAGGTTGCCGTCAGTGGGTGAGACCAGCTGCGCCGGGTGGGACCCACGGGGGAGTGTGACCCCCAGAGCTGACATCAGGGCTGGGGCCACCCCAGTGCCGGTGGCGACGATGGCGACGTTGGCAGCAGAATTGATAACTGGGAGGGTGATGGTGACGCTCTCTCTAGGCGCATCGTAGACGGGTGCAACCCACTGAGACTTCACCTCCAAGGCCGAGTGGTGGGGGAACAGGGAGGCGACGTGACCGTCCGTGCCCAGAAGCAGGAGGATCAGGTCGAATCTTGGGCAGTCAGTCGAGAGAGATGCGGCCACAGTCCGATCCCGAACCAGCTGCCTGATGCGGAACTCGTAGTCCTCGGCTGCTTGCTCCCCTGGTACACCATGAGCCACGGAGATAACGTGCGCCGGCGGTATGGGGACCTGTCAAGTTTGTAAAGCAGAAGAAGAGGATCATACTCATACAAGAGGTGCCCACTTTAGCTGGGTCTCTCATCAAAGCTGGAGATCTAATGGCTGTTGAGCTATAGCTAGGGTGTAGCCATTGAAGATATATGGCAGAGCTTAGGGTGATGCATCAGATGTCTTAGGCTAAACTATAGGGTTTGCCCATGAAAGCAACCAACTAGCTAGAATTTTGCCCATGAAAACAAGCTGCTGAAAGATACTGTTTACTGTTAGAGAGAGAGAGAGAACCTTGGAGATGAAGGCTTCTTTGGCCTGCCTGTAGTTGCTGTCTGGATGTTTCTTGGCCACAAGGTTCTCATCAGCCCAAAGCAGATGCCACTTAGACCACTCCAATGTTCTCAGATATGGAGCCTTGGTTAACTTCCTGCATCAGATCAGAGAACCAGAGAAACCCATGAAAGTTAACACATAAAATAACAACCCTAAAGCATTAACATTATGACTCCATTCTCTCTCTCTCTATATCTGAAAGAAGAAGAGATCAACATCAGAAAGAGAAGAAGACCTCAAGAGGGTGGGAAGATTTCCTCCAGAAAGAACAAGAGAAAATGCACCCCTCTCCTTCACAGAAGCATCAGAGATCTGGGTCACATACTCTGCAAGCCCAGTCAATAGCTCTTCGTTGCTATCGAAGACTCTCACTCCTGAGTATCTATTCTCCATTCCCGAGTTCCAGCTAGAGTCTCCTCTATATTCCAAGTCTGCTTCACTTCTATTCATCTCCAAACTTTTGGATTTATTTTGCTTTATAGCAAATGAGATTCCATGTAAAAGAGAGAGAAAGATGGAGATAGAGAGAGAGAGAGAGGCTTACTTTGTACGGTGACGTCTGCACCCACTCCTCCAAAAGTACATGAATCGCAAATGAGGTGGCACCATCCATCGACGTTGTTTCAAAGTAATAAAATACACCAACCTCTTAGGCTCTTACCTCCATGAAGGGAAGAGAAGCTCTCTCTCTCTATTTGAATTTTGACCCAGATTTACAAATCCACCCTCCATGCTTTCCCTTTTATGGCAATTGAGTTGAGTGCAGTTAGGCAAAAAGAGAACAAGTGTTCATTTGGCAAACCACCCTCATAAAAGCTCCTTCATGAAGATAAATGAACCGACTTGAAATGCTCCACGAGGTGGATAACTTATTTAAATAACTCCATGTTCAGATTGAATGTGCACTCCTTTTTTTTTTTCTTTGTCCTCTTTGGTTTTCCCCTTTGTCATTAGTCATTACCGTGTTGTCAATGGTCCGGGTCTGGTCCGGGTCAGGGTCGACCCATTCTAATTTCCAACCCCACAAGTAATAAACGTGCAGAATCAGTTAATTACGAGAAAAAACAGTATTTTATGATGGAAGTACTAACGTAGGGGTATCTTTACTCTTTAGAATATATACCAATGTATATATACGACTACACTACTATATCACACCAAGACCCATATAATTAAGGGACTTTTAGACTGTATTCCACCTCAGAATTCTGATTTGAACTAGAGACCTACAATAATTCAAAATTATAAATAGTTCCACCTATAAAATGGGTCGAACGGGTCAATATATCATTGATCAATTCAACAGTTTTTAGTCAGAGACATGGTTTGAGATAACAAAACCGATTGTCTAGAGGATTCTCAGGCTGAACAGTCCGATCATCCGGATCAACGGCAGTTCGAACTAATGTTTGATTTTAGGGTGAAATGCAATGTAAGATAAAAAGCTACTTGGACATCTCCTAGAGTAGCTGAACCAGTTATCTATGGAAGCAAGCAGCCGATCATTAATCTGGGGCCAAATGGAATAATTGAACCATTAAGAGAATAGTATTTCCACTATTTGCCAACCTTTTGGCATGCTCCAAGTTATATATGCTATGCCTTGACTGTCTATCAGTGGTTAATTCACCACCAGTGATGAGTTTTGATTTTATCTTTTTGGGAGGAGGGATAGAGGGAGGGAAGGGGGGTTTGGTAGGGCAACAGTAAGTTGATTGAGAGCAGCATTTGCTAAAGACTGAGCACTTAAGACTAGGGTTGTTGCTTTAATATTTTCAGCAATAACTCTCCTTTTAATGTCCAACAAACTTAGAACTTCATTGTACTCAATTAAACACATCTATGAGCAGTGCCTGACACTTTCATGTCCTCACCCTAGTGATTTTGAGTGCTACCCCTAAGTATAAAGAAGTGAAATAAATCCATCCATGCCCAAAGCCAGCTATTAAAACCCAGTACAAAGGAGAAAACCTAAAGCCTTAACACTAACACCTGGCCCCAAGGCCCCCACAATACACAAAAATACAAAACAAAAACAACAACAACCAAACAAAACAAAAACTAATCTCAAGTCTGATTATAAATGATTCTGAGATCTCATATTTGGGATATTACTGGGGATCCAAGGAATTCAAATGACTCACAATCTGAGCCAGCTTTAATTTAGCCAGTGCATCTGCCAGCTCATTACCTTGTTTAAATTATACATACCTTGGAGAAGCTCAAAAGCCCTTTACATTAAATTCTGATATGATGAAAATCACTTTTTAATTTTGTTGAGTCAAAAGCATACAACATCTATAATGTGGTCCAAATACTCTCAGTTTGGAATGAGTATAAATACAAATATATAGAGTATAAAATCTTGTATTTTATATTATTTTGTATATATTTATATTTGTATTCTTTCTAAACTGAGCCTATATATCCATCCACAATTGAACCAATGAAAAATTTTCACTATTTTCAATAATGCAAACGTCAGTTTTAATTGTTGTCGAATTAGGTTTTTTCTACATATTTCTAATTTGTATACAATTATTTTTTGCTTCCTTAACTTGAATACAATTGGGCTATCGTTTCACCACCGGACACCTAATTGAGGACACAATTAATGCCTCCCAACTCCCAACAGCTCATGTCCTAATTACTAAGTTCTTCATTAGGAATTTAGTAAGGGGAATCAAGGGTGGGGTGTATATGAGACCTACTTGGACCACAAAGAACCTATGTATGATTCCTCAGGTTTCATTTGGCTTTGTCTATTTGGAGGGGTGTCAACTGGATTAGATTTGGTCCAACTCGATCCAGTCCAATGTGAGTCCATTACAAATGGACCAGGTCCAATCTAATCCAATGAATGTTTTGGACTATTTTGGATGATCCAATTCAATGTTTGGACCATTTAATCTGTTCAAATTCGTTTTAATTTAGATTGGTTTCAACTCAAACCTGGTTCATTGACATTTATATTCTTATCTTATATCAGTGGACTAGATATTGACTTAATCCAACCCAATCCAATATAAATTTATTACGGACGGACTATGTCCAATCCAATATGTCTTGTTGGTCCATTCAATCCATCCAAATTGATTTTGGACTAGGTGGGGTCCAGTCCAAAACCGGTCCATTGACAGCCTTAGTGCCAATTGACCATCGGAATTATGATTGGGCCATTAAAACCAATGTTTTAAAAACCGACCCAGAATTGGAATCATTCTAACACTGGTTTCTGAGTTGACGGTCCAATCGTCCGGTTCCAACAGATGCCCCATTTTGATGAAAAAAATTAAAAATTAAAATAAAAACGGCCAAAAACCATCAAATGAGTTGACGGTTCGACTGCCTGGGCCAATGGGTAAATTGCCAATTCAACGGTTGTTGACCAAGGACCGAGTTTGGGGTAAAACGGAACCGGTTGTTTGGATTGTTTTCGGGCCGAACGGTCCAACTGTCTAAATCAACAAATACAAATATGTATAATACATATTTGTATAATACAAATACAAATATATACAAAATAATACAAAATACATGATTTTTTCACACTATATATATTTGTGTTTATACTCGTTCAAGACTGAGCCTCAATAATGTTGTTGGTATATGAACCTTCTCCATTGATCTTCGATCATATCTAGGTTGTACCACTAGAGCCAACAATCTGCAAGCCCAACTACGCCCCAAAGGAGAGCTTCTCTGTAAAACCATACCCGCTTTTCCCAAATTCTACCTATAAAGTGAAGACCATTGAACTTGGGTTTGATATTGGGTTCTCACATCAAACACATTGAGACGCCAACCCGAGTAATCTCAAAGGCAACACCTGGCTAGCGAATATTCCTCCTTGTTTGTCAGCGTCATGGATCACAGTGGCGCCAACCATCAAAACTGGTGGAGACTGGAGCTCCATTGCTTGGCAAATGAGACTAGTTCATGGGTATTATCATCACACAACACAGACACAACAACAACAACAGGACCTCCTAGGGAATGCAAGGGGGAATCCTCATAATAGATAAATGGGTAATTCCAAATTCAAGATCATCACCTCACCCTCTGTGGTTCTGTGACCTTGCTCAACAAATCCTAGTACCAAAAAAGTTCAACAAATGCTGCTGTTATCCACAAGGTAAAAAGTAGCTCAAGCCAATCAGTTGCGTGTCCCCAGGTTCACACATTTTTTTGTTTTCTGGGTACCTGTATCAGAGATCCGTACCCCCTCGAGCCATGGCTTGCATTTGGATTCTTCTGTCATCTGTCTGCACTCTGGACTCTGGAGGTGTTTTAAGTGTTGATGTGGAAGAATTTCACACCTAGGGATTACTCCTACTAAGGTCTTTCTTTTTCATATATAAAAATTAAAAAATATCCCATATTCCTACTACCTAGGGATTTGGGATAAGAATAATGTTTTGGTGTTGAAAATTATTTTATTTGATTTTTTTTCAACAGTTTACAATACACTAACAAAAGGATAGCAATATCATTTATCTATTCACTCTACCTACGAGAAAGTGCTTTGAGTAGGATTGTCAATGGGTCAGAACAGTTCTGAAGGTAAATTGAAAATAATTATGGGATAAGTAGACTGTACTTTACCGTAAAAATCTGAAATTACAGCCCCTTTTAATTTATTAATAGTTTCCTATAAATTTAGCATCGATYCATGATCAAGATTCATCCCACTTATACGATAAGATCAAAATTTTTGAGGTGGATTGAATAATAAAAACCCCATTGAATTATATTAATATATTATCATTGTCCCAATTATATGGGGTCGGTTTCATGAATATTGTTTAATAAGTTATGATCCATGATGATAATGAAAGTTCACACTTGTGGAATTCTAACTTGATTTTGATATTAATTATAAAAGTTAAATCAAAGTATCATATAATGTAGGGTTTATATTTATATCTTTATTTGCTCATACATATATGTTTCTTTACACACACATTATTGACATTGTTACAAAGATACCCCTAATATAACACCTTTCTGATCTCATAGTATATTTGTAATATATCATAGGATGATGATGTCCAAATGCGTGCATTTAAGAAATAACTAGGTTTATTTTCAAATTATAGGTTCAAAATATGGTATCAATTATAAGTGGGATCTATCGGGTCAACCCTGACTAACTTGATCATATAGGGTCTAGTTTGGAAGTGGTTTTGCACATTTGCTTAGTAGGTCAGAGTCCGGTCTATCCTGATGTAGACCAAACCTAATCCATTGACAATATAAAAGAAAAAGGTGGAGAAGTACAGATAGGCCCAATGCAAATTTCTGATTTTCATTGCAGAGCTATAAATATTCAAAATGCCAAAAATCCTCACTCTATACATCAATGCCCGCCCGTAAATTAGCATCAATTCCGAACTGGCACCCACCCCTACTGTACTTTGGGCCTAAAAATTCTGACCCTGGGCTGAACTGTCATTCTCCCAAAAA